CGGGAATGCAAGTTTGCCAACATCAGGGCAGGATAAGGGTACTCCCGTTGATGTTGGTTCGGACAAGCCCGAAGATGTAGTACTGGTACTCATGGTCGTTGGTCGTAAGCTGATAGTCGAGCTCGGTATCGAGACACTACTTGATACGGGCGGAACATTTTCGACAAGATTTGCAGCGACTAGCTCGTCAAAGTCTGCATTTTGGCCTTGCGTGAGATCGATTCTGTAGTTTCCGAACGAACTATGCACGTTGAAAGTAGACCTATTGTTCGCCGGCTGAGCGGGCGGTTTGCTCGACAAGCCATAAACAAACTTTTGCGCAGATGCATTTGCATCGATTGAAACCAGATTGCCATCCACGTCGTGCCATTGCGAGCAGCCCTTGCACCGCACGGTCAAAGTCCAGTGAGTTGTGTTGTACCCAGTTCCTTTGATGTACGAGTACTCAGCATCAGCATAGGGCTGTGGTAGACTCAAGCCGAAAGCTATTCGCGAGCTGTAAATGGATGTGTTGGATGCAGTGTTCATCCATCCGACCGTAAGTGGGACATATGGCATTGTTCCACCCCAGCTAAACCCTACCCACCCATTCTTGATAGGTGAAACAATTTGCAAGACGGTATCGAAGGGTGCAGTTTTTGACTCAGGTAAAGCGAGACCGAACGTGATGCCATTAGTACCAGTCCATCCAGAATAGCATATCGACGTTTCCGGATCACAGTAACGCTTGGTCACTTGGCCATGTGCTGCTTTAATGTCACTAACGCAATGTTCATGATAGTATGACTGCACATACCTCTGTTGGCAACAGTAGCAAATCCGAAAGCTAATTTTGCTATCCTCATGGCAGGCGAGATGTAAAGACTATGTTGTCTTTACGATCTGCGGTAGCGGATCTCGCTGTCTTATCAAGGATACGAGCCGCTATAATGGAATATGACATGTGTCTGTGCATCTGTAAATGAATCTCGAATGTAGGCCGGATAGCCGCGAGGCGCTTGATCGACTTGTAACGTGGGCTCCTTCGCCCAATGTCATGAGCCCCACTACATATCATACGATGATCGTACTTTGGCTGGGCGTGATGCCTAGATCCGCTCATGCGATGGAAGCGTGGGATGATATCAGAGCGTCCGGTACTTCGGACTGCAGTACTTTCTGTTGAGCGTGGCATACGCTTCCACATTAGCAATATATTGTTACTGCGTTACGCTTACAGGAAACTGTCTTCACAGTCACGTCTCCATGCTTGGTTAATGATATGTTCTGTTGGCTCATTAAGGGGACTTGAAGTGGCGTGGACGAGGTGTTGACCAAGCCCTGGTTCTCAGTGTTTTGAGCCTCAAGTCAAGCCAGGAACCACGAGGCGTCTCCCTTTCTAACACGACAAATCACCGTGTGCGATATATTGCCACCGTTGGATATAGAACAGCTCGATGTATTGAATGATGCGATGATCTCTTGATAGCGCGGTGCAGTATTGAACATGTCGACGATAAGTTAATGAGAAGGGTGTTTTGACAGGGCTAATAGATGAAGCGACGAATTTAGCCTTCGATCGTCAGCGCCAAGTAGATGGAATCAATTGACATACGAGTGAACTTGTATACATATTTATTTGGATGTTGCTGATAGACTGATAGGCGCATCTTCATCGGTCCGGCCGCCGAAGAGACGGTTTCAGATCTTCGCCTTTGCGGGTGCGGTGACCCTCTTACCATGCACATAGCAGATGCTTCTGATCTTCTCAGCCGCCTCACCCCAAAGCTCGTTTCTGAGCACGCTGTATACGCCCATCTTGGCCCTACCCTGGACTGCCTTTGCTTTCTTCAACGCGGCCTTGAACATCTCTTTGGGCTCTGCAACCTCATCGACAATACCATCCTCATATGCCTCTTTGCCCGTCCAGCGATGCGCTTCGAGCAGCATCTTTCGCGCAATCTGCGGTCGAAGCTTGAGTCGAGGGAGAAAGCCGATGCCAGGGAAGTGCAGGCCGAGGTTGACAGGCGGCATAGAGAAGAAGCCACGCGACGCGTTCATGATGCGATAGTCGTGCGCGAGAGCAAAGGGACAAGCCCCACCGAAGGTATGGCCCGTCAGCAGAGCGATAGTGGGGAACGGGTAGTCGAGTAAGGTCGCTAGTAGCGGGAAGAAGCCATCGCTATTCGCAAATGGGTTTGTATCGCTCTCGTCTAGCTCGAGACCTGTGCACCAGAACTTCTCGTCGTTTCCCTTTGTTATCACACATCCTTCCGCATCGGGGCCTAGTTCTTGCTCAATGTCGCGTAGCGCACGTATTATCTCCTGTGCAAACTTGACATTTATGCGATTCTCGGGTGCTTTGGCGAGGGTGATGACAAAGACTTGGTCGTGCCGGTCGACGCGTAGGTTTGTGTATTCTCCTAGGGCCATGGCGACTGCGGGTTCACGTATTGCGGTTGCGACGTCGATGCCAATGCGAGGCTCCTCGAGATGACAAGGCAATTGCGAGGGTCTGTCCCGTCAGCTGCAGCGATATCGAAAAGATACATCCTGCTTTGCGGGCTCAAACATGTCAACTATCATGGTGCTGAAGCCTCGGCAGCGAGATGCGGGGAAGGACCCTGGCCAGAGTCGCGCGGTAGTGCCATCTCTATGCTGACTCGCTGTAGACATCAATCTACCTGGACAACAATCGGACAAAGCGACGTAGGTTGTGGCGGGCGCGTATCAACGCCTATGGAACGGACATGTAATAAGTCAGGGCGTGCGGCGTTGCAATTGTGGAGCTCACCCCGATCAGCTCTTCGGCCATCTCGACTTTCCACCTCCTCTCCCGTCGCTACACCAACATAACAAAGAAACATGGTCAGCCACCCGCTCCTTTGCCTGAGCCTGGGTTGCCCTTGCGCTTCTCCCAAAAAAACGCCTGTCTGCGAACTGTACTCTATTGGGTAATGAAAGCCAGCCCCATAATCGTTGTGAGATGAGTGCTAAAAACTCTATTCGATCTTCTGACAGTCTTTGCGTCGCATGAGCGCTATATTCCACCAAATTCCATTTCCGGTGGAGGGCAAGAGCAAGTTCATCTCTCAAAACTGCATCTGGGCCTCTGACTCGCGCGATAAGGACCTCATCCCACTCAGCATGTAATGGAGCGAGTTCCGACGCTGCGGATGCCATTGGCTATACAGCCACAACTACTGAACTCTTGACCGGATTCTGTACAGCCTGAACGCCATCGCAGCTGCGCCGTCACCGCGTCCGACGCAACAACTTCCAGTCCGCGGATTGAGTCGATGCCCAAGGACGGACGATGCTACGTTGTATGCGATGTGCTGTCAGATCATCAGCCATGTTGGCGCTTTTTGAAAGATTGGCATATGCAGACCACGAAAGAACGGAAGATGGCCACCGCCGAACGCCAATGGCAAACAGTCAGTATGGAGCACACTTCCACTTCATTGGAGGGGATGTAGGTTGGTGCTCCTGCGAGGATTCGCAGGACATCCCTTTGTGAGACCCAAACGGTAGCCGGACGGCACATCAATACCCCATCCTTAATTGCAACCTCGTAGCCTTGATCACTATTGAGGTATAAAACGTAAACTAATCTATCACTCATCTTGCGCCTTAAGCCCACTCTTCACATCAACAGTCACTATTTCATTGATTGACGGATTGAGAGCTGCTCATACCATAATCATACCACAAAACTGCCTCCATCTTGGCGACGCCACAATGGCCGAGCCGAAGACCATTGCTCTCCTTGGGTCTACTGGGTTTCTGGGTCCATACATCACAGCCTCTTTACTCCAGAAACACAGTCGCGCCAAGATCCTGTGCCTCAATAGGAGTGAGGATGGAGAACAGCGTACTACATCATCTTTGCAGCGCATCAGCAGCGACAACCTCGCAAGTTCTAGCCGTCTCCACTTTATGACAACCGACATCACACAACCAAACCTTGGACTGGACGATACGCAGTACAAGCAACTCGTATGCGAAGTCGATGAAATCGTCTTCAACGCCTGGAACGCAAACTGGGCCGTACCCCTCGCAAAGTTTGAGCCACTCCTCAATGCCGTACGCAACGTCGTTGAAGCATGTATCGGCAGCCCGAGAAAGGCACGTGTAACATTCGTGTCATCAAACTGCTCAATCATGAACTGGCCAAGCCGTCATCCCGAACAACCACTCATACCCGAAGAACCGGCTTGGGAGTATGCCAGCGCTGCGGACAGCGGGTACGGACAGAGCAAATGCATCGCTGAGCAACTTCTCGCCCGCGCGAACCTAGATTCCGGCGTACGCATCGCCATCGTACGTGCAGGACAAATTGGTGGACCGTCGTCTGCGATTGCTAGTTCGCCAGGCTGGCCAATCCAAGGCTGGCTATGGGTCACTTTCAAGACAAGCCAGCAACTAGGTTGCTGGCCTGTTCACATGAACGCTGTCGACTGGATTCCTGTCGATGCTCTTGCAGAAGGCATCACCAACATTACACTTTCGCAGCCGAGTAACAACGACGTGACCAAAGTATACAACATGATGCATCCTAACCCCGCACCTTGGGTTCTTTTGCACAACGTCTTGACTGAGAAGTTTGGTTTGGCGGTCAAGGGGGTTACGCTCCCGCAATGGCTTGGCCTACTTGATCCCAAAGTGTTTAAGATGCATGGTTTCATGGCAGCAGCGGGCGAGGGGAGGGAGCAAGAGGCTATGGTCTTTCATAATAAGAATGCGCTGGAGATGTTACCCAAGGTTGAGAATCTTACGGCGAAGCAGATTGAGGTATGGCTCAAAGGGTGGAGATTGAGACTCGGCGAGGCAAGGGCCAGGCTTTGAGGGACGAAGCATATGTGTAGTGTGTCAAATTTGGAATGAAGCTTAGTTGCACCACATTTTGAACTACGATGAGACAAAGCTTGAACATGAAATTGAGAATGATCAATTCTTAGCAGTAATTAATATGTAACTGCGCTATACGGTCCTGCCGTCAGATACTCTATGTGTACCGTCTACAAAGTCTGCTTGCCTCTTGTCTCAATTGGCAATATCAGCATACTGAAGAACGCCGCAATGAATAATCCACCGCTGGCGTAGATGGGGGCCTTGGGATTACTGTCACCAGCCTGGATAGCAACAATCGGTGCGCATAGTCCAGCAACGCGGTTCAAGAAACTGCTCATGCCAGTGCCAGTACCACGGATAGGTGCAGGGAAGACCTCAGGTGTGTACGCGTACAGAACACCATACATGATGTTCTGGAAGAATGCTTCAAGACAGGTGAAAGCGAGCTGGAAGTCGGAGTCGGATGAGATGGTGAACAGGAACACGAAGACGCCGGTGATGACGGTTGCGATGGCCATGGTACCCTTGCGACCAACGTACTTGATATCGACGGTGTAGCAAGCGATGATCGATCCAGGAACACCGACGATGGCAGTAATGGCGTAGTTGCGGTACACGGTGCTGGTGTCGTTCTGAACATCACCACCAGAGTTGGCAAGATACTGTGGGAGGAAAGCGTTGAAAAGCGGGTATGCCATACCGATAGTCGTCCATTGGAACCACAAAAGGGCAGTGGTGAGACCGATCTTCTTATCCTGGAACAATGTCTTGAAGCGCTTCATCGAGAATCGGCTGAGGGAGCGCTTGATAATCTCGAACACGCTGAGCTTCGTGTCTTCTTGGGTGACTTCTTGGTCGCCGCCAATTTGGTTGAGGATGTCTTCGGTGAGCCAGGTGTGCGTCTTGTTGTAGTGGGCGATACCGTAGACGGTAGCGACGGCCTCAGCCTGGCGACCACGAGACAACAGGAACTTGGGCGATTCGTAAAGATGGAAGAGGAAGAAGCGGCAGATGAACATGAAGAACGTGATCGCACCGAGGGTCAAGATGAGGTATCGCCAGCCCCAGTTGTCGGCCTTGCTGCACTGCCCAATGGGAGTACCAGAAGGGCATGAGAAGTTGGGAATGAAAGCCCAGGCCAGCAGCGAAGCGATCAAATTACCAACAGGCCAGAAAACGGAAAGTAGCGTCAAGAGGTTTCCGGATGTTTGGGGCAGGAATTCGAGGAACAAAGCGCCATCGACTGGAAGGTTTCCACCAACACCGAGACCGATACATGCGTACAGTGCACATGTGCCAATCCAGTTGGGGCCGCCGCCTGAAGCAAGACCGAAGACACCGGCGAGGAAAAGAGTGAAGTTGAAAGCGAGACGGCGGCCAACAATGTCGGATGCGGTACCCCAGAAAGACGCGCCAATGCAGAGACCGAGGAAGAGCGATAGTGTGGTGTATCTGACTTCCGTTTCGCTGACACCAAACTCAGCGCTAAGTTGAGGCAGTGTTAGAGCGACACCCTATATTATGGTAAGTCCTGCTGACAGTAGACGAGTTTGGCAAACGCACCTGCAGCCACAAGTTGTCGGCCATCCAACCGCCACCACAAAGAGCGAAAAGCTGCCATTGGTAGCGACCCATTCCCATATCTTGCAAAGCTCTGTTGATGACCTTGGACTTGCCTGGAGAGTATTAGTACTAATATTTCATAACGATTACCCAAAACGATAGGAAATGCCACACGACGTACGGTCATATGGCGTGTCTTGGTCTGAGGCGGCGACATCTGCTTCAATCTCTGCCTTTAATGCTGCGACTGTCATGCCATGGTTAACAACACCACTTGATGCATTACTTTCAGGTCGCCTAAGGTCGTTGGGCTCATCCTCTTTGGCTTTCTCTGAATTTCCGAGGGAGGCGCGTGGGTGAGTGGAAGCTACAGAAGCGCGATGGGTTGAATCATCAAGAGGCACATGAACACCCGGGAACTCGTCGACGTGGTGGGCCTTGAAGGGATTCACAAACATAGTTCGAACCATCTTGGCGAAAAGATGGTGGTGGTAGCGCAATGGAAGTTAGGTGTGGTTGTTGCTTGGGGTTGGCGCTATGGTAGTGAGGGTCTGATAACGGAGGTAGTCGCGATTGGGATGATCCTGTTCAGGGTCGTCGGTTCGTCGGGGTCGATGTCGATGTAATCTGATGCTTGGTCGTGTGTTGGAACCGTCACGGCGTCTTCACCCAAGCAGGATGCTAAAGGCTTGTGAGGCTTGGAAAAGCTTGTGTATTGGAGTATGGCAAGCTTCCGCGACAGCAAAGTCGCAGGGAATTTAAATGACAAGAGTTGTATGAGCTCGGTCCCGGAGTAGGACTACGGCCCCTCATATACTCCAGTTCTCCCCAACGCCTGTCAAAAAATCTTTTGGAACGGACAGATGATGTGGAGCAATTGCTGAGGTGCGCCAAGGTAGCGGCTATTAAGGCGCGCAGTGACGTAGTGCTTGGGTGGACCAAGCACCAGCCCAGCACGTTGCTGTGCCGTTCACTGCAAAGATCATCCAACGTCGCTGCTGTGGTTCGCTCGATCTTTTAGGCTTGGCCCTAGTCAAAACCATCGGTCTGGTAAGCTTCTCGCAGTCTCACGTCTTGTGCGGTTGTGCGTCTGCAGGACCTTGCCCCATGCGCAATCATGACAGTCGATTGCATGCTGAGCCCTCGATGAACATGTTAGAATCTGTGCTGGAGACATCGGTCGCCATTGACTGACAATGGTAGTCGTCGTCTTTGTGGCTCGTCTTTGTGGCGAGTGCGTCTGTTCCTCGCGCCGATGGCGAGGCTGCGCGCTATTCGCCTGTCGCGGGTCCAAATTTTGCCGCGTGCCGAAACGCGACTAGCTAGGGATGTGCCGATTACGTTAACGTTTCTCAGGCTTTGCGCACGCGAAATGGCTAATAAAACCGGCCTGAAATTATCTTCAGTCGTTGATCACACCGGCGGTAAGCGGGGAGGCTCGAGTGTTCTCGTTACATGCCTAGATCAGGCATGACGTCCCTGAGATATACGACTCCAGAAGGCGGGACCGCTCCAACCCCAGCACCAATGCGAGATCGACACTTGTGGGATGCGCGGCCTGTGACTGCTCATCTACTAATTGACCGAGACTGAAACGTTCAGGTTGCGAACGATGCATCTGCCGTTAAGTGTGGCAGGTTTTCGGACCCTGACCGGCTCCACAGAAGCAAGACCCTTCAGAAGCCACATACCTGCCCTGGCAAGACGCGCCGAGTAGGTACCATTGTGGGCCCGGCCTAAAGCAAGTCGTATCGACAGGAGGGAATGTCACGCGACGTACTCAATGCTAGGATCCAGGACCTTTGTGTTGAGCTCGTATCGCCTCGGTAGTGCTGCCAAGTACAACTTACGTACGACGACGCTGTTGAGTGGAAACTTGATCAAGATTCCTGGCATACACAGCCCTGCAAAGACATCGACGAAAAATGTCTTTTTTTTTCTGGTGTGTAATCAAGTACCAGAACGCCCCGCGAAGGTATATACCATCGCTCTCTTGATAGACTTTTAACATAGACTCATGTGTATGCTCGGTGTGTAACATAGGGCGAAACTTAGAACAAACGAGCCCCTCAGTGACATCCCAGACATGCGCCTTCCATCCCTCGATCGCTCCGGGGCTGCATTGAAGTTGCCTCGAGGCAAGATACGCTCTCGGTTCTAATGGCAGCATCAACTTCTGCTTCGAGACTGGCCTGGCAGTAACCATCAACAATGGATCTAAGCACCACTCTTACCTTGGGTGACATATTCACGAAACATCAACAGTGCTGTAGACGTCCCCGTTCAATACCCACACTTATTATTCCAATCACCCCTTATCATCAGCAATCATCATGTGCGGCGCGGAACCTCTTGTCAGCCTGAACAGCGCCGAGTCCGTTAAAGCATTCTACAAGCTGCTCGGAGAGCGCGAGCAACTCCCAGTACCCAGACCAATCAACGTCTCACCAAAATGGCCAGCAGCTCGCAATGATCACTACTGCGACCAAAAGGTTTGTCGCCACGCTGTCCTCGACTTATTTCCTCTGTATATGCCGTCGGACAGCGGTAGCGATGTCCAGGCGCCTGACGTCGATATCTCCAATACTCGAAGCAACACCCACAGTCCAATTTGTTCGTGGCCAGCCAATGAGTATGCCGGTGACAATCCTCGGTGAGTTTACACAATATATAAAGTAGCTAGCTCACTAACACAGTATAGATTCAACCACCAGCAATATACTCCACCTTCGTCGCACGATGGTCAAGGTCTCCAAAGTTCTCAGACATTCCCCATAAACTCCGACTTACGCACCCGCGCTCGCGCCCTTCGACAAGAACTCGACAATATACATATTAGCTACGCTAAGTCATATCTTGAGGTCGCGGAACGCTTCATTGACTTGTCTGACCCGTACTGCATCCTGTCATCGGGCTACGACCGTCTGGCCGAAAAGCACGATAGCCTTCGACATACCGTCTACAAGCTTGTTGCACAGCTGGACATCCACACGGAAGCCTTGACGGCTCTAAATGAGTGGAAAATTCGTACTCAGAAGAGCTTCGCTGAAGTAAAGGTTCAAGACCAAGATCCTAAGCTTTTGTATTACGGCACACCGCATTCAGCGTCTACGGTGGATATTGCAACTGAGCAGGTAGAGCCTGACCCCGTAGAAGCGGCGAATCCGACTTCCAAGACGATGATAGACAGGAGAGACTCTGGCGTTGCGGATCTGGAGACGCCTCTCATAACGCCGGCAGTTCCGCTTGGAAAACATGTTGTACGTCCTAAGTTGGTGCTGAGGTTGCCACCTCGACCGGATAACGAAGAGGAACGTGTGAAGCCTACTAGCGGCTTAGTATCGGACCAGTATGCAAGTTCCAAACGAATTAGGAAAACCGCGGACAAGCGAAAGGCAGCTGCATCTCACGTCAAACCAATAGACAAGAGAGCAAAGAAGAGTCACAAATGACCGAGCGCATGTTGTGGAGGTATGTCCTTCGTCTTGTTTTGTTTCTTCTATGCTCATGGAGGTAGCTGGGGTTGTCGGCCAACCGGGGATGAGTTCTCGCAGTGGTATTGAAGAATGACACCTACGTGTAAGCATCCTCGATATTTTGCAAGTAAGCCAAATTTCCATAAGCCAAGTCGGTCCATGGTCTTCGTGCACCCCGCAGATGACGACCTATGTGGCGTTTGTGGCTATGTATGTATCGGGCAGCACAGACAATTTCCGAAGGTTTTCGGGATCGATCCAGGACCTGCAACCTTATCTTTATACACAGCTCACCCGCCCTTCTGAAAGTCCTAAATTCGCTCAATCTTGTGTAAGCATTCCTATCATCTCACACACAAGATTCGCTTGGTTGTAAATACACGGTCAGGGGAAGGAAACAATAGCGAATTCGCTCTGGATGCGAGGGTAAGTACTAGCACCTTAGGGCATGCTTGTTTTATTGGAAGTTAATAGAAAGCTAATGTGTATACAGATATTGAAAGAAAGGCCCGAGAAAGTAAACATGTGGTCTACATGGTACACCGCGCGTGTGATCGGATCCACCACAAGCTAACAAAATCTGCGGTCCAAGATCATTGAACTCATACTGCTTTGTTGGCAGTGTGAGTTCACCTGAATGTACTTATGGCATTGCCATATAGATTTGGAAGCATGCCAGATGCTTGGCGGTGAGTTACAGATCTAATAATCTGCTCCCGTCTACTATCCCAAGGGCTAAGGGTAGCTACACGCGTTCGATTGCACCCATGGTTGGTAAGATGTCAGTCATGGCGCTCATCCCGATCCATTAGTGTTCCAGCCATGTGAATCCCCTTGTGTATAGGAATTCAGGCGCAGATCCTGCCAGTCCCAGATCTGCTCCATGCCGCCCATGTCCACAGCAGATGGATCCCCCACAGTACCAAAGGGGTTTTGGGCGAGGAATTGATCAATATCGAACGAGAGATCATCCGAGATGGTCACTGGATGCAGATCACCGACGGTGGAAGGAGCCGGTGCAGCAACCGGCTCTATAGATGCCACTGGAGGCATGGTCGCTACTGGTGTAGGCTCATGCGCAGGTAGCGGCGGCGTTGACTTGGGTGCCGAAGAAGACGCCTGCCGTTGGCGCTTACAGATCGAAGGATATCGCGAAAGCTCTGGCGTAGCCTGCACAAGCTTAGAAAGGAAGTTGAAAGACGTAGCCCCAAGTTTTGTTGTTCCACTGAGTTGATGCAGCATCTTTAGAGAGCTTTCGATAACGTCCACGATTTCCTCACGATGAGGTAGAGTATGCTTGCGGTCGTGTATGATGGCGGAGCAAAGTAGAGTTGCGGTATCGAAGATGCAGAAGACGACCATGTGAAACTTTGCGTTGATCGGGAACTCATGATCGAAAAGTTTACGCGCGACTTTCAGGAGACGCAACGCGATGTCTATGCCCTTCTTCCGAAACTCGTCATCCTGACCAGCCACTTGGCCTTGACGCTCTCGGGTCAGGTAGGGTTTGAGAAAGTCGAGTTGTGTTAAAAGGATGACACAGTGTAGTTGGTAACGCTGGAAGACAAAGTATGGATGCGTCTCGTCGAAAGATGTATCCGTGTTTTTGAATCGAAATATCGGGGGTAGCTCTTCGGCAAGCTTCTCGCATTCGGACTGTATTGTCAGAACTTGCTTATCCGATAGGTCAGCCTTGGAGTTGGCAGTTCCCATGGCAGTCGCTATCCTACGGCCCAGATTTGCTTGAAGCGCCATGTGAGCGAAAGGTGAAAGTAGGTTTGGCTCTGTGGTTGACTGATCCAGTCGTAGATTGGGGAATTTGAAGCTGAGATCCTTCTGGTCGATGAGGTTTGGACGACCCAACCACGCCGACATCTGCCTGTAGCGGAAATTAGTGAGCATTCTCGTTGTGATGGTCATGTGCTTACCAGTCCCAGATGTACAGCAGCGTCCAGAGACGTCTCCTGATCTCGATGTCGAACTCACATAGGTCC